AATTAAAACGCTCTTTTAATTTATCATTAATTCACATTCGCCGTCTTAGATTAACATCTAGCAATGTGTCAGGGCAATATATGTGACGAAAAATGTTATGTGGTATGACAAAATCAAACTCGTTTGTTTATTGTGAAACTTTAACCCCTTCGTCAATATGATCTGATCAATTACGAGATATGGAAGTGTGTCAATCTCGATTATCGATCATATCTTTCACTCCACTATTAAATCAATGTAAGTCGAAAACTTCTTTCTGACTTATGAGTACACCTTGGCCAAGGATTTCGTTATCGACTTAATTGAATGAAATGTAGATCATAATTTCTTACAATCTAAGAGTGATGAATCCTCTATTGGTCATTCACAACCTTCATACTTTTCTTGACATATCCAAACGATGTCGTATTAACGACCCCTAGCAAAGCAACATCCAACACCGTCAAAGCATGACTGTCCTCATATAAGGTACTATAACGACTTCAAGTTAAAGGACTAATCACACTACTGAACATTAGAAATTAACCACGTGGAATCTCTAGGTTGGTCTCCAATATTTTGTTCTATAACAAAACATCTATGTGTTCATTAAAGTGTCACCACATTTTAACTTGTGAGATCGGCTACTTATTTCACAAGTAAGAAATGTCACACGTGATGGTCTATCCGTAATAATGATATCCGTATCTCGTTATTACTTACGACCACGGACGATTTAAGATTCAATCATATGTAATTTGTATCTCACAATCATAACTCCTTGTAATTAATAAATTACGAAGATTTAAATCTACGGACTCTATTATTTCATTTAATTGTCTATTAAATAAATAATATATCTGTCATTAAATTGCATTATGTATTGAAAGTATTTATGTCCAAGGTTGATTGAACCTAGGGTATAACACTTACAAACTCCTACTTGCACTAGATCCAATCACTTATGTATCCAATATTATAAGAATCTATATGACGATCATGTTTATGCAGTGACAACTCTTTGTCAGCGGATCTGATATTGTCAAATGTGGGAATTTGTTCTTCTCTTTACGTCATTTCTATGCATTATCTCTCTGATAAGATTATACGGCCTTAACACATGTTTGAATTATTGATGAAACCTTAGTTCTTTTGCTTGTGCGATGGCTATATTGTTATCACAATACAATGGCATGTGATCAACAATATTATGAACTCCTCCAAATTCATTAATGAACATCTTGATCCACATTACAACTCTTTGCTGATTCTAAAGCAATCATGTATCATGTTTCTGCTATTGAATCAACGATTGTTTTATGTTTGGAACTTTTCAAACATACCATTTAAGAGTAAACCAATTTCTCCATATAAAATCTCCTCAATATTTTATTTATGTAAATTGGGATGAGTTAAGTAATCTTCTAAATCTATCTCTATATATCAAGTTGCTTCTTCATATTGTTCATGAATAAATCTTTTAACAACCATTATTTTAACGATTGAAACTTAGGGATGTCATTACCTATCAACATTATGTCTTACATATAATATTACGAATGTGACAATGTTCCCACTATCTTCTTGCAAACACACAATTCGTCTTCATATTTGATAAAATCAAACATTTTGATTCTACATCAAATTGAAGATTTCAGCTTCAAGAGACTTACTTTAACCCATAGTCATATTATGTAGCTATCGCAATAGTCATATTATGTAGCTATCACAACCAAAATTTGAATGGACTTCAACATAGCTACAGGCAAAAAAATTCATCAAGGTCAACACTTAACCCTTTGCTACTAACTATACTTTGTATGTACAGATATTTCGATCCATATCAACCTTTTCCTGGTAAACCATACAACATATGGGTCTTATCCCACCAGGAAGGTCGACCAAGGTCCAAACCTTGTTTTCATACATCGAGTTCATCTCGTATTTCATAGCCTCTTGCTATCTCTCTTAAATCAACATTTGACTTTGTTTTTATGCAATTAGTACGTTCATCATCTTGGATCAACAATGCTTGATGAATGATCCTACTTGATTCACATAGAGCCGACATGTCATCAGGAGTCTCTCTCCCTGATCAAGAATATGTCTCATATCAAATATGGGATCAAATTCGAATTCATCTACTTGGTTAACTATATATGTGGACTCTTGAACTCTTTCAAGTTCTATTTTGCTCCTACTATCCTCTCCTAGAGTAAACATTTTCTCTAAGAGGGCGATATGTCATGAGACAAAGACTTTCTTCTCAATGGGTCAATAGAATTTATATCTAAATATATGTTTTGGATATCCTACAAATATGTATTTATCGGATTTAGTCTCAAACTTATCCGATTCAATGCATTTCAAATAAGCGTCACAGTCCTAAATTTTCATATGAAATAAAATTGGGACTATTGTCTTTCCATAGCTCATATAGAGTTCTATTAACCAAATTAGATGTGACATGATTTAGTGTGTTACACATTACAATTAGTGTATGACTCCAAAATGGCTTTGGGAGATTTGCATGACTTGTTATTATTCGCTCTATATCTAATAGTTTACGATTTCTCCTTTTCAAATACACCAATTTGTTGCAGAATATATCAAGGAGTCTACTGCAAGAGAATTCATTCTCTCTTAGATAATCTAAAATTTCATTTTTAAGATATTCTTCACTTCAATCAGATCTCAGTGTAAGAGTATCTTTACTTATTTGTTTCTCTACTTCTAGCTTGAATCCCTTGAACCTTTCAAGACCCCATGCTCAAATTTCATCAAATAAACATGGCCATTTCCGGAATAGTCATTAGTAAATATGATAAAATAAGAGAAACCTTATCCATCATTAATCGATATGGGTCTATGACACGTTCCAATTAATTTTTCTTACTTAACTTAAATGTGTTGTTTTAAATAGTATTATGGCAAGTAAGGGTCATTTCCCACAGAGGATTGATTCAATTATGTCAATTGCGCACTAAAAAGTAAAATTAATAATAATAGACGAAATAGATTAAATGGGGGGTTTTAATTTGTTGAACTAAGGAAAACGATAAATTTAAACTAGAAAAGACTTGAAATCTGAAATAAACAAAGTGTTTCTTGATTGAATGCGAGAAAATATGATTGGGGGATATTTCGTCACCACGAGAATGATTTTCATGTCAATTACAACAATAGATTTTCGTTGTCAAGATTAACAATAATTCGAGAATAATTACAAGCTCAATTACCTCAATCTCTTCTTACATGTTAGTTAAATAAAACAAGCTCTTTACTCAACCCTATTCATTAAACAACCTAGAACAAGTTCTCTAGATTTAATTTAACAAAGGCATTACGACAAAAGAGATGAATTGAATTAAGGGTAAACTCGCAAGCTCGGTTTACAAACTTTAGTGTTAATCCACATACATTCAATTGAAAATTCTTCATAGTCTATCGAATGTAATTGTTACTAGGTTTTAGAATCAATAGCTATTACGTACTACTAATCCCAAAATAGCATTATCGAAACAACTTAACCATTTAGTTGTACACTTAAACAATCAAGAAGAACAAAATAAATATTTAACACAATGGATTAAACACATTAATCAAGAAAATTATAATGCGCAAATTAATTTAAAATTATAACTTGGGTTTGAAATAATCCCCAATCATAAAATATAATTAGTTACCCATGAAATATCCACAAATAACTAACAATTTCTTACAAAACATTTATGGACAAAGTGAAAAGAAAAACTTATTGATAAAGAAAGAAATGGTTGAAAATCATTCAATATCAATGGGTCATCTTCTCCAAGCTAATGCACCATCTCCATGTTCCAATCTTCCCCCAAAATATCTTAGAAAATAAAGGTGAGAGGAAAAGGGAAAAAAAAAAGAAAAAAGAAAACAATAGACAAGAAGAAGAAGAACTAGCTGCCCCCTCTTTGTTCCAAGAATGAATAAGTCTTGTATTTGGTTGAATGTTTTAAACCAAAACCTAAAGAAAATTGCAGCATTGGTCCCTAAGATTTTGAAAATAATGAAAAACGACATGGGTGGCTCCTGGGGGCTACAGTTTCTATTTCTGCTCGGGCTTGGGCGCCACAACGCCTAGCTCGCTGAATATTTTATATTTTTGTTAAATCTTCTTTCGGCAGCATCTTTGTTCTTCTTCGTTTGCCATCATCTTTAGCTCGTTTCTCGCATAAATTCCTTCAATTCATCATTTAATCTCCAGTTTTAACCTACAAAATAAAAATAAGAAAATTAAGTAATAAATTGCTAATAAAACTCTTAAATATCTAAGTTTAATGGTTCGAATAAGCGCAATAAACCCGCATTTATCACACCCTCAAACTTAAATCTTTGTTATTCCTCGAACAAAGCAATACAAACTAGCATACAAACACACAAATTAAAACCAAACGATAATACTATATTAATAACCAACACTCCAATTGTTTGATATTTTGCCACTTTGCTTCAATTCTTCCATTATGCAAATAACTTATGAAATGTTTACAAAAATGCTACAACAAACACTTTTAAACTTACACCATGCTTGACTCGTGTGTGTATGTGGTCATTCTAATTCATCGCAATGCACAAGTTGGTGATTTTCCCAATATTCAATGGTCAAACTTTCCTTTCTCACTCGTGGGATGCACACTCCCCAAAATTTGATATTTTCACTCTAACACAAGGTATCAAAAACTTAAGGTTGCCCTCAAATCACTCTATCTTTTTCTCTCAAATTTGGTTGGTTTGAACCGAAAAAATAGATCATCTAGTCATGTATTAATTCATCAAAAATTTTGAGTGCTTAGACCACAACTTATGTTAGGCAAATTACTCATAATCCATCAATTTTTCAACAAAATCACCCCTAGATGCTTATAGCATCCCTTTTATTTTTCTTCATTTTTTCCAATGTAGGTAGTTCTCGCTCTGGTCCCTAAGGGTAGCCTATCTTCATTCGTAAATTGTTTCCTACACATTGGTGATGCATACGGCCAGATTACTCAATGCTGACTCACACTCCTTAGAGTAGGCAACTTTTTCCTATACACACACACACACACACACACACACACACATACATATATATAAAACAACTAACTTTCATTTGAAGTCTAAGAACATTCCACAAAATCAATCACTAAGTCGGGAATTAATACAATTCTAAATAATTTCTTTCATCGGTTGAACCACCCCCAAACTTATCCTTTCATTGAAGAATTTCTAATAGCATGGTCATTTAAGTTCGTTAACAACCTACAAGTGCAACCAACAAGTGCGCGTGATGAATCTCATGACCCAAGTACTCAATAAAGAGTCAATCATGGAATAAGTTGATGAAAATAAACAATACTTAGCATTCATGGTCCCAGTTCATAAGTCAATGTAATGTGATACTCAAAATGCAATTGACAAAACTATCAAACAAAACAAACAAGCAATAAAAACAAGTGTTTAGCCCGAATTTTTAAGTTTTTAGCGAGAACAAAATTAGCACAAACCACAAAATTCCACAAAAAATTTAGCACATACCACCTCACCCCCAAACTTAAATTGCACATTGTCCTCAATGTAGAGGCAAAAAGAAATAGAAAGCACAGGAGGTTCAAATACTCCCCTAGTGGTGTTGACGGTGATGACTGTGATGATAGTTGGAGACCATTGGCGACAAAAATTCACAAAAACAAAAACAAGTGTTGTGAGGTTCTTTTTTATGATCACCGGTATTGTTTCCCCCTTTCCCAAACATACTTCAAATGCTTGGGAAAATGTTTGAGTTCCAAGGTGGGGGTTTGCATCACCGAATGTAAAAGTTTCCCTTTAGATATCGGAAGAATAATATATGAGAGATTATACCTTAGTGGAATACTTGGTAGTGACTCAAGTGATGCTACGGTTTTAACAATATCCTCACACAGTTGTAGATTCTTGCTCAACCCGATAAGATTATCAACATCAATGCTTTTAATCAAAGTGGTGTCCAATGCATCTTCATTTGATAATTTGAAATTTTTTTGCACAAATGAATCCATTATATCTATTGAAAAAGAAGCATGAACATCACTATGATACCTCATTGTTTCAAAGATATTGAAGCAAATAATCTCACCATCAAACTCCATTGTCAAAGTATCGTCATGTACATCTATCTTTGTACGTGCAGTCCTCATAAATGGTCTTCCCAAGAGAAATGGTGGCATCAAAGATGTTGATTCATCTTGCATGTCAAGAACATAGAAATCTGCTAGAAAAATCAATTGATTTACCTGCACCAAAACATCATCTAACACACCCTTTGGAAATGCATTAGATCTATTAGAAAGTTGAATAATAACACGAGTTTTCTTAAGTGATCCCTAATTTAAAGAAGCATAAATAGAATATGGCATGACATTAATAGATGCTCCTAAATCTAGCATTGGTTTTCCAAACCTAGTATTAACAATAATATAAGGGATGGTAAAACTTCCTGGATCCTTACATTTTGGTGGCAGTTTCTTTTGTAAGACCGCTGAAACATTTTTTCCTATACTTACCACTTCATTACCTTTCAATCTATGCTTGTTAGTGCACAATTCCTTAAGGAACTTTGCATAACGTGGCACTTGATAAATGGCATCCAAAAGTGGTATGTTCACTTGAACCTTGCGAAAAGTCTCCAAAATTTCCTTCTCATGTTCATCCTTTTTGGACTTTGCAAATCTTCCAGGAAATGGAGGGGAGGGAATGTAAGTAGGAATATGACTTTTAGAATCTACCTTATATCTCGAGGTTGGAGTCTTAGCTTCATCTTTCTCACATGCTAAGTTCTTCTTTTGCGTTGACTCCTCAACTTGATATTTCATTTTCCTTGATGCCTCTTCCAAAATTTTTTCACTTCTTAGTGTCACAGCACTAGCATTTTCTCTTGGATTGATTGCTTGAGAATGGAGTTTTCCCGATCCTTGAGCCTCCAATTTACCCGCCATGTTGGCCAATTGACTCACTTGTGTCTCCAAATTCTTAATTGAGGTTTTTGTCTCTTGTTGAAATTGCATTGTACTAGAAGCTAAGGACTTCACCATATCTTCAAGATACATCTCTGAACTTTGAGACAAAGTTTGTTGATGAGGTTAAAGTGTTGTGGTTGCCTTTGTTGATTGAACACCGGGGAATGATTAAACTGTTATTGTGGAGCTATGGAATGATTTCCTCCGTAATTGAGATTAAATGATCTCTCAATCCAGGATTAAAAGTGTTAGCATATGGATCATATCTATGTCCCTATTGCATTGGAAATCCCCCAATGGCATTCACTTGCTCTGAGGCTCTTTCTTGTAGTGTCGGGCATGCATATGTAGGATGTCCTACAATAGAACAATTCTCGCACACTTTTGCTTGTTGCATTGTCCCAAGTGCCATTTGTTGCACAAACGATGTAAGACTGGCTAATTGTCGTTCAATTTGTGAGGTTGCTCCTACCTCACTTGCTTGTTTAACTTATGCCACTTCTCTACTACCAAATTGCTGTGAGTTTGCAGCCATGTTGGCTATCAAATCCTTAGCAACTACTGGTGTTTTATCCATTAAAGCTCCTCCACTGGCCGCATCAATCATACTTCTCTCCATCGGGAGCAATCCTTCATAGAAATATTATAGAAGTAATTGCTCACTGATTTGGTAGTTTGGGCAACTAGCACATAGCCTTTTGAATCTCTCCCAATACTCATAGGGAATTTCCCCTTGAGATTATCGAATGCTACATATTTCTTTCCTGATGTTTGTAGCCTTTGAAGCTAGGAAATACCTCTCCAAAAAGAGCTTTTGCATTTCATTCTACATCGTAATAAGACCGACTGGCAAATAATATAGCCATTTCTTAGCTGTGTCTGCAAGAGAGAAAGGGAATGCCCGCAATTTAACTTGTTCTTCCGATATACCCGCTGGTTTCATACTTGAGCAAACCACATGAAACTCTTTCAAATGTTTATTTGGATCCTCCCCGGTGAATCCATGAAATGTAGGGAGTAGATGAATCATTCCGGACTTTAGTTCAAATCCCACCTCCACTTGAGGATATTGAATGCATAGAGGTTGTTGAACAAAAGTTGGAGCTGCAAGTTCCTTTAAGGTCTAATTTGTATCCACCATTTCGGGCTCTATGTGTTCGGAGTCACTTGAGGATTCAATGCTCAATCGCCTTAGATGTCTAGTCGGAGAAATGTCTTCTCCACTTTTCGATGTGTCAGCCTCTTTTCTTGATCTTAGGTTGTAGTGTGTTATAGGCTTTTTGCTCATTCACAACCTAAATGACAAAAAAAAAATAAAAAAATAACAAAAAGTAAAAGAAAAACAACAAAAAGAAAAATATTGCACTTAACAAATTGATAGAACAATCCTCGGCAACGGCGCCAAAATTGATACGTTCCAAATCACGTTCCAAATAATTTTTCTTACTTAACTTAAATGTGTCGTTTTAAATAGTATTATGGCAAGTAAGGATCATTTCCTACAAATGATTGATTCAATTATGTCAATTGCACACTAAAAAGTAAAATTAATAATAATAGACGAAATATATTAAATGGGGGGTTTTAGTTTGTTGAACTAAGGAAAATGATAAATTTAAACTAGAAAAGACTTGAAATCTGAAATAATCAAAGTGGTTCTTGATTCAATGCGAGAAAATGTGATTGTGGGATATTTCGTCACCACGAGAATGATTTTCATGTCAATTGCAACAATAGATTTTCGTTGTTAAGATTAACAACAATTCAAGAATAATTACAAGCTCAATTACCTCAATCTCTTCTTACATGTTAGTCGAATAAAACAAACTCTTTACTCAGCCCTATTTATTAAACAACCTAGAACAAGCTCTCTAAATTTAATTTAACAAACGCATTACGACAAAAGAGATAAATTGAATTAAGGGTAAACTCGCAAGCTTGGTTTACAAACTTAAATGTTAATCCATATACATTCAATTGAAAATTCTTCATAATCTATTGAAATGTAATTGCTACTAGGTTTTAGAATCAATAGCGATTACGTACTACTAATCCCAAAATAGCATTATTGAAACAACTTAACCATTTAGTTGTACACTTAAACAATCAAGAAGAACAAAATAAACATTTAACACAATGGATTAAGCACATTAATCAAGAGAATTATAAAGCACAAATTAATTGAAAATCATAGCTCGGGTTTGAAATAATCCCCAATCACAAAATATAATTAGTTACCCATGAAATATCTACAAATAACTAACAATTTCTTACATAACATTGATGGAAAAAGTGAAACGAAAAACTTATTGATAAAGAGAGAAATGGTTGAAAATCCTTCAATATTAATGGGTCATCTTTTCCAAGCTAATGCACCAGCTCCATGTTCCAATCTTTCCCAAAATATCTTAGAAAATAAAGGTGAGAGGAAGAGGAAAAAAAGAAAGAAAACAATAGATAAGAAGAAGAAGAAGAACCAGCTGCCCCCTCTTTTTTCCAAGAATGAATAAGTCTTGTGTTTGGTTGAATGTTTTAAACCAAAACCTAAAGAAAATTTCAGCATAGGTCCCTGGGATTTTGAAAACAATGAAAAATGGCCCGGGTGGCGCCTGGGCACCATAGTTTCTGTTTCTACTCGGGCTGAGCGCTAGGACGCCCAGCTCGCTGAATTTTAATTTTTTTTTTAAATCTTCTTACGACAGCATCTTTGGTCGTCTTCTTCGTTTGCCATCATCTTTAGCTCGTTTCTCGCATAAATTCCTTCAATTCATCATTTAATCTCGAGTTTTAAGCTACAAAATAAAAATAAGAAAATTAAGTAATAAATCGGTAATAAAACTCGCAAATATCTAAGTTTAATGGTTCGAATAAGCGCAATAAACCCACATTTATCAATCTACATATATCACTATGTATTAGAGCAGTAATTATGCAGATATTTCTCCTTTTCAAATAAAAGAAAATTTGGTCATTGTGCCTAATAGGCAAGACTTGCATTTGTCAAATGATTTAAAATCAATTGGCTCCAAATATATATCTTTATGTAATATTGGAATTGCATTTCATCTATATGACCAAGTCTCCAATTCCAGATTTAGGTATTATTTAGATTATCACTTTTATGCCTTTTAACTTCTATACTCATTATAGAATGCTTAGTATTTAGAATATAAATGTTATTTGTAGCTTACCATACTATAAAGAACTTAATCAAGATAGGCATGAACAACAATTGTTTTTAACATTAAAATAGTTCGTGTCCAAACATGAAATTCATTTAATGTCATGGTTATGGTTGGTACAAAGTTATATTTCTCTAATTACAATACTAAGCCTAAAGGCAATAGCAAGAAGTATACTCCTACAGGCAATGTAGAAGCATTTGCTCATCTTCAACATGCAGGTCAACTTCTCCATTTTGCAGTGGTCTACTTCTATTTAGTTTCTTCGTATTTGTATAAATATGAGATCCACATTTGGTATCGAATACCTAAGAAACTCATGAAGTAGACATAAGTCTTGTAATATTTCTTCCAATGACATTTTATTCTATAATGAAAGCAAGGGTCATTAGATTTGGTATTGTCCTTCGCTTTGACCATATTAGCCATATTGGATGCTTTCCCAAAGCCCATTTAGACTTCCTCTTAATATCCTTAGAGGAATCAATAACTTGCCCACTTGTAACTTTGATATTGAGCATAAGAGTCTTGAGTAGGTTAAGCAATTTAATGAGTGTGTGTTTGAGATTGTTCAAATCATAATTCATAATTAATATGAATAACTCTCTGGTAGAGATTGTAGAACTAAGTCAATACTCAATTCTTGGTTTATGATTGAACTTAATTCAGACAACTTCTCAATGCTAAGCATCTTCACTACATGAGCACTGACTGAAGATCGCTCTGTCATTTTGCATCGGTATAGTTACTTGGAAGTCTTGTATCCTTCCACACATGATTATTATCATACAACTCTTTGTAATGAAAAATTACGTGTTAACATCTATACGCTCAAATTGCTTTTATAACTCAGGTGACATAGTTGCAAGTATCACATGTGTGTTGTACTATCGTCATCATTGTATTTATTACAGTAGTCACATCTTCCTTAATTGAATCATTAGCAGGTCTCTCTGGAAAGGGATACTCAAGGACGTAACCAATATTCTCATGCCTGAGAACAATTCTCGAGTTGCAGTCCCAATCAAGAAAATTTGATTTGGTTGTTAGCATCCAGTATGCCACTCAAATATACATGGTTACTCACGATTCAATAAATATAAATGACGAAAAGAAAAAGAATAATATATAAAATACATCAATTAATTTAACATGGATTTTTGTTAAATTAATTATGCTCCCACTGTTTAACTTAAATTTATGACCCTCACATATAAATTTATGGAATCCATACTTGACTTTTAGTAGGTTGGGATCTCATTTGTTATATTAAGACTTGAGTGTACTCAACAAACTTTAATAAAATATTTGGGTAGATACTATTATCAATTGTATCTTTATACAACTCCTAGATCATTAAACTGACAACTCTTTGTCTTCACACATTTTATGTGTTCACTTAACATGCCTCTAAAATTTATCTCCTTGAGTATACTCAACAAAAGATAAATTTTAATATTAAGTCGGACCCATCATTCAGAAATATCTAATATTTTATAGTGTTAAACATATCTCTAATAGACCAACCTTGAGTGTACTCAACAAGATGAGACGAGTTGGGACTCTGATTTTTCACCACAATGATGGAAGGCGAATAATAAATTGACTCAATAGTTTATTGAAAGATTTTGCGTTCATAAGTCTCATTAGCATCGATACAAGCATATATAATTTATTAAGCATCAAACATGCAAATAAACATATATATAATATATAATAGTATGGACGATTATGGACTTTTACTATCTAGTCTTCCGAGCCATGAGGAAGAATAGTTGGTCAATTCCTAGGGTTATCGCATTGAATCACTATCAATGCACCATCTCCATGATTTCCTCCTCTTCTTGTATCTTCAATTAGTCTAGCTACAACATGCATCTTATACTAGTTGGCACGGAGCCTAAATAA